TTAACTACTTACTACTTATGGTAGGTCCGCTGCAAGGCAGCGCCATCATTTCGCTTTGTAGGTAACCCACAATGTCAAATGAATACCTTTACATGTATTTAACATTTGAAAGAAAAAATAGCAATTATAGTAATATTTGTTATTTTTAAGCATGTAACTGCTAGATGTTTTAATGTAAAGAATTCGTATTTTTTTTGTTAATCATTGTAAAACCGGTCATTGCGAAAGTTGCTTGACTTCCACGATCGCAGACCTAACAACTACTACGTAATCGAGCTTTTTGCTTAATAAGTTTATCAGTATGAGTTGAACGACATCTGTTCAATCTGGTTAGCTTTTAGTGCGAAGCAAAATGGAGACATATTTTGTGTTTCGTTATCAAAGCTCCGCTCTACAAAATTTTTAAGGTACTACTTTTATTAATTTCATTATTGTGAGTAAGAGGTTCATAACGATTCCGCTCCTTTTGCAAGGTGATAGGACAGATATATCTGAAATACAGCAGATTTCTCTACCTTTTCGGCCAATCAGTAAACCTCTATTGACAAAAAGGTTATGATACTTAATGTGGATAGTATACAGGGAGAAAAAGCCCCATAATAAGATGGACTAAATAGTTAAACTGCATGACGGCATGAAAGATAATATGGTAAAAAACAAATAAACATTGAGGTGACCGTTGATTGAGATGTAAGGAAGAGGCACATTGCGCCGAGCTCCATTTAAAATTGGAAATACGCAGGAAATGATAAATATAATTAGGAAAAATACCTTTCCATTTCCTGGTTGTTCTTCAATTTCATAACAACCGTTAATCTAATTTTGGATACAAAATAACGAAGTTAATGACTACACTTGATTTCACTTGCTGTTAGTAATAATTCACGTTAATGCAATGACAATTCGCGCGGGAGCCACACATTATACGGGATGAACGCAACCAGAGCCATCTGCGTGTAATTTGTTACTGCTATACAAAATTATTACATTTTTATTATAATTTTACTCACATTTATTAAATATTAAATTTCTTTCACTTTCTTTTCGGCCCTAAGCAGTTAATATGTGAGTGGGTAGAATGAACGCTTTTGTAGACTGTCATGGTAACGATTCTATTTATATAATATCATTTATTCAAACTTCTTTCTAATCCCAAGAATGTTCGTTCATAATTTTTCTAATAATGCAAATTAAAATTGTCTACCAATAGTGACTCAGAAGAGTTTTATTGTCCTGCAAAAGTTGCCAAGTACTTATGAATACGAAATAAAAAAGGAGATATAAAGAACATTTATTTTAATAGTAATATAAATAAATGAAAACAAAAATGTCTCTAGTAAGCAGATACTTTCCTCAACTTTATTTTGTTCATTAATGTGATATTTTTAGAACATTTATCCAGCTCTAGTCTCTTGATTTATGAATCAAAGATGTTTTTTACTTCCAACTTTATCTTTTCATCACTGTTTACCTTGTTATTGCTTTACATATAAATAGAATTAATCTTAATCTTCTAACTAAATTAGGAGTTAAAGAAAAACACAGGTTACGCCGGCTGTTCCCGTGGAGGTAATAGGATGGTTGTAAAACCTAACATATTAGATATATTTAAAGGTGCTTAAGAACAGATATGTTCGACATATTCTTACCTCCACAATGATCATTGCATGTGAAGATAAAACTATGTACTTATGGCTCAATTACATTTGGTCGTTAGCCCAGGGTGCACGAAAGGCATCACTCGAATTCGGCCATCCAAAGCAACATTTACACTGGAATACTAGTAACTAAAACGATAACTACCCGAAAACGGGCTTACTCAACTCCGTTCATTTTCACTTAGTTGCTTACCCGAATTATATTGCCACTCGTATTCGGGCTAACGACCAAGTGTAATCAGCCATCAGTGTTGGGTGTTTTATTTACACAATATTGCATAAATGCTATTGTTTTTTATACATTTATTTTATTTTATTCGTTATTTCAATTTATAACCAACTTCATTTTCTACTCAGATCTAGGATAACAATAACAATGGTAATTTTTTCACCATTTCAAGGGACCGTAGATTTAAGTGGTATATTATGGTTTAAATTTCAACTCAATATTTCAACCTCCACGCATTCCCTAGGGAATATTGAGTTTAAAACATTTATCTAGATAAATGGTCTTGACAGGCAGACGAACAACAGAGTGCTTATAAGGTTTACTTTTTTGCTTTTGAGGTAGGGAACTTAAAAATGGATTTTTTACTGTTCTACACACTATTGATTTTTAGTTTATCCTTCATAGTACTTGACGCTCCGTAGCAACGCTGGATATGTCTGGCTTAACAGCAAAGTTTTAAACTGATAGGCTAAACCCACTTTTGCTCGTGAAAATCTACAATGAATCAAAAAGTTTCTAGTATTTCTTAAACACTTTTATAAAATGTCAGACTTTGTAACATTTAATCTCGTACCTAAATAATAAAAGAATATTATCAGCTTCACAAAACATTATATACTAGTAACAACGACAAAAATCGTGTATGTTGTTGGGGTACAACATGTAGATTGACTGAAACATGCAATCTCAATTTCGATTGAATATTTTTACTTTAACAATTATTGTCAAATATTGTTTTTTGGCTTCTTTAACATTGATTGCAATATTTTGCCGTGTAATGACGTAATGCAAATTTCACTAATGTGTAAAAATGGAGCCTTTGAATTCCAAAGTGACATTTAATTTTACAAAATCGCTTTCCCAACGTCCAGTTTTTATCGTCTCAGTGATGGCTAGATTTCTGTGATTTTTACAATTAAATTCCAGTTGCATTAATGCTTATTTAAATTTGATTTATTCCGTAAACTTAAATGAAAACATCGCTGTCGTGAATTTCTATCCTGCTTTTATGTTATTTTAATGCATTGTAATAAAATATAGTTTCAAGTTCAAATCAATAATTTCACACAATTTGTTCGTTTAAATACCATAAATAAGATATTAAAAAAACTATAATGTGAACAAAGCCGGTAAATACATAAAAGAATAATGTTGTAGATCTTGCAGGGCATGCAACTTCAGAGCTAAAAGGGAGATATGGGATTTTGAAGGTATAAATATCATTAACGACGACGATTTCAAAATTCATTGTTTTATTTTTAATTAAACGAAGGTTTACAATGTTTCGGATTTACTTTCAATAAAACGAAAGTCTTCAATGTTACGAATCATGTACTTTAATTCACAAATAACGTGATACGAAAAAGTAGCCACTACCAAGACGAGAAAACATATCATGAAGTTCGCTCACATCATAGGGATGAAAAAACCAACCCTTTGACGCTTATCAAAAAACCTGCGTCGATTGCTATTCGAGGGTACTCGTGCCTTGAATCCCACGTATATTCTTTGTAGCCTCTTCGGTGTTTGATCATTTTGTATGTAACTTTCATTCGATAAGCGCGCCGGGAGAATAATTCAATAAATAACAAGTTATCTTTTCTGTGAAAGATTTATATTATTCAATCTATTTGAACTTTCTGGTGAACAACCCTCGTCTCAAATATCTTACAATACAAAAAAAACAATAAATTTATCAAAATCCAGCTGAAATTAAGGTATCGCTGTAGCCAATATAAGATTGCTGTGTGTATTTCTAGAAATAGAAAAAAAAATCATTTTAATCCATACTGAATAAAAAGAATTTTCAAGTGGAATGCATTTTTTCATTTATGGATTCATTTAGATAATTCTCTTTGTCTTTTCCTTTTTTAATATTTGTTTTGTCAAAATGGTTGTGAACAAATTATGTGAGTGGTTTCAGAGGTATACAATGGAGCCCTCATGGAAAAACGGTAGATTCACAAATTGGCTCTGATTCTTATATAAAATAAAAAGCAAATTAGGTAAATATGCTTGTCAATTATACACCTACATTTGGTAAGCTGACGTTGCTTTGACATTTAAATAGGCATAAATAAAAACTTTGTAACCACTTAACTAAAATCTACTTCTTAAGCACAAATCACAAAAAATCGAGATATAATGTGAATTAATCAATCGCCCTGTTTTTTGCAACGCTTTTGTGTTTGAACTGATTGAAGTTTGAAAAGGTAAATAAAAAAATATTTAGATACAGATTTTCCTCTTCGGATAAAGTTGCCAGAACCAGCTAGTATTTCATATTTTGTTGTTTGATGCCTTGGTGGTAACTATATTATTAATTTTACTGGAAATTTTCTTTAGATTAAAAGTAACGGATAATTATTTTTACTTTTTGTGGTTTCGTGAGTGAGAAATCGCTACTATAAATCAAGAATATAGCTTTTCCAATTCATATAAATATGATGAATAATTCACTTACAAAATTATATTTGGCTTTACAGTTTTTTCATAAAGTAGCAATGCCATTCAATGTGTATCTGAAAAAATATGTTAAACCACTCAATATTTTTTTAATTATCTCTTTGATTGTTTCAGCAGTGCTATTCTTTAAGAACAAACTCACTTTTCACCACGGAATTCGTCTATGTGATTTGAAAACACAGCGGATTCCGAGGTGAAAAGTGAGTTCTTTATTTACCAAGTATTCATATTTAAATTAAATTACTCAACAAAAAGTAGGAAATCGTAAGAGCCTTGTAAAGAATTTTTGAATAGTTTATTGAAGTAGTTTAAAGTTTGACTGAAATACGGTTAAACAGTTCGAGTGGAAATTAGGCGTTGTCTAGCATTAGAAAAAAAAAGATATATAATATATTGATTACATTACAAATAATAAAAATTTGACGTTCAGTTTAAGTGGCAGGGAAGACACTTTGTACTTTGAAATACATATTTTGCTTTAAATCAGAACAAAATTATCAAAATCTTTTTGTCTACCTTAAAACGGATTTTTTTCTAAAAATTAGTTAATTTCCTACTATCCGTTTCCAAAAGTAACATCAACATTTTTAACAATTACACAGAAAATAAACGTGCTTATCTTAGATCTTATCTATTAATGAACTTACCGACAGAGTCCTTAAAACAAATTACAACATAGAAGACAAGTCCAAAGTGTATATAGAACAAAAGTTTTCTAAACATCATTCAAATCACATTGCAGAGTCAAATTTGAGAGTTCACTTTGTTTGTGTCATTTCGAATTGTGATAAACTACGAGTCGTAGCGCTTACGAAGTTCGTAGCGAAGTTGTCGGTCCGGTGCCCGCACCGTAGCGCTACGTTCGGTGAGGCGCGTCTCCGCGGTGCGACTAGCTGGCGTTCTGTTTAACCTCGCAACTTTCAGCGGTGCACATGCGCTTATTTGACTTACTTTGATATTTTTGTTTGTTTCAAGTACATAAAGTATTACTATTTTTAGGTATATTCTGTTATTTTTCAAATTCATAAAATATATTAATAATAATAATAATTATTATTACGTACTAGATTTGATATTTTAGTCTTTATTATTTATAAGCTTCACACCAATATTTAGTCGCAGTTTTGGCAGGAAATTGAAACAGGAACACAAGGAGATAAATAAATAGTACCTACGATTAAATGCGAATGCATCTATGCTCAACGATTTCTTTAAAAAGCAAAACATCAGAACGTAAGCTAACTATTGTATAGGCAAATCCGCAACGCTTAGTACTACCCGCTCCCTAAACAACTATGTACTCGTATAATTAGTTCCTCTTTTTGAATATAATAAGTAAAAAAATAAAAAAATAGCGACAGTCATTGGAAAGAACATATTATTATTTAATAAGATTGTTAATAATAAGAAATATAAAGGATCGAAATATGAGCCCTGTGGATACCACAGTGTTCTTAGGAATCACACTAGATTTTAAGCTGCAATGAGGCCCACTTAATGATAGTCGAATTGCAGAATATGCTCTAATGAAAATACGTCAGTTAACGGATAAAGAAACTGCCACATTATTCTACTTTAGTTATTTTCATAGTTTAATGTCTGTACGGTACGGTATTTTACTGTGGGCAAATGCCGCCGACATTCAAACTATATTTGTGTTGCAGAAGAGGGCTATTCGATCAATGTATAATCTTAAAGTTAAGGAATCTTTAAGAGATTAGTTTAAAGAAATAGGCATATTGACAGTTGCATCGCAATACATTATATGACCACCTCTGTTAAAAAATATTAATTTATTGACTAAAAATAGTGAAATAAATACACTTAATTCTAGAAGTAAATATAATTTAACTTTACCTGCCACTAGGCTCCACAAAATTAATAATTAGTTAAGAGGCGTCTGTGTTCGTTTTTACAATAAAGTATCAAGCAATATTCAAGAGTTAAGCCTGACTAAATTTAAATCGACTATTAAAAAATCACTTGTTAAGATTATAAAGTGTCTGATTATATGAAAGACAAAAATGGTTCGGTTTAAACTGTTCCAATTATTCCAACGGGTATTTATATATTATGAATCATGTGTTGGCGATACTATAATTGAATTTTAAAGCTGTATTTAATGTTGATTACTTAAGGAAGAATATCCGACTAAGAAAATTTGAATAACAAAACGGCGTGGTCGTGATTTGCTCCATTGCTTTTGCTTTTGTAATTGTTTGCAGTGTCCTACAAATGAATGAACTTAATTTTAAGTAAATATGTTGTTGTTAGTATAGGTGGTTATGGGTAGTTATGCTCTCTTAAAAGTCTCTTCGGTGGTGTCGTGTGAGGCAGGTCGTTTCGTTCCCTAAATTATAGTTGAGCGAAGCGATGGCTGGTTCTGTGTTATGCTCGTGAACGGGTGCTGCCAGCGGAAATAAATCTGACCTAACTACTTTGATATTGTAGATGTTAATATCTAATTGCACCTAATATGAATAACACTATTTATATTTATACCGTATGACACAGCAATGAAAATGCAGGAAAAAATTAATGTATTTCATTATGTGATGAAAGGTGACTTTATGAATCATCTCTGAGGTCATTTTTAAGCTTTACGGCTCGGAAAATAATAAAACAGGGAGAAAAAATAGCTCTTGTTGTGTTTCTTGCCGGTTCTTTTCACGTAGCTTCTAGACATTCATGAGTGTTTTAAACTCAAAAGCTTCTGTAGGATTCATTGCCCCAAACTCATAGTTTCAAGAGAAGTAGGGCATAGCGGATTTCCCGTTCGAATTGGCGCCCGTCTGGGGAAGTAACCTTCATCTTACAGAAGATCACAGTAAAATATCACTTCCTTTTGGTGCTGTTGTGTATCTGTCGGTGAGTAAGGTTCCAGGGCTCCACCGGGTAGGAGATTGGGTCAGAGTAGGCAACGACGCGAGTAATATTTTTGATTTCGCATCAATAGGGTATGGTGCCGCTTATTATCAGGTAGGCCAAATACTTGTTTGTTATCCCTTTAACATTAAAAAATACTTATGCCTAAGGGTGTCCGAATTTCAAAGTAGGCACATGCCTGTCTGTTTCAACAGTACGGTATATATTCGTTGTTTGCAGCGGTTGATGGCCGACCATTACGAAATTTGTTAGTAATATCAATGGAACTGTGTTTAGATTCTGCAATCCAGCTATAAATAGTCAATTTAAATGAATTTTCATCGTTGAAACTATTTTGCAAGTCAATACTCTGCTGAGGACTCAACTACAATTCTAAATCAAACTCTCGCCTCTTGGATGCCGTATGATACGGACGCGTGTTTGGTTCAATTTATTTGTTTTTATTTTAAAATATTATCCAAATATTTGTAATAAAGTGCAGCGAGTACCAGGCGAACAGGATCAATAAGCGGCAATTCGAACAACAGTGACAGCATTTGCGCGTGAGTGAGTCCGCTTACACAGCTATACGATATCAATAGATACACAGTGCGGCCCGGCTAGCGCAAGAAGCCAATTAAATTGCAACCACACCTATTCTCTCGGTGCTTTCTGTGGGTCCATCCCTACTCCCAGCTCCGCCCCATTCAAGTGGATTTTGCCGACGGCGTTTGCGCACTCATTTAGGCCTAAAGCGACGTTTGAAAGCCGAAATGAGTTTACAAAGAACACCACCAACCGCCGGGATTACAACAGCGCTTAGTGCAGATATGGAAACGGCTAAGTCTGAATCTGATATATACTTAAAATCTTCAGTCTCCAAATTTGCACAAAAAAATATTAAAAATACTCGGAGAACACGCAGAAGATTAGACGATGACAGTTATGAATCAAACCCGTGCTCTGAGCATATCTTAACTGAAATAAATAAACTTTTTTCTGTATTCGAAGCGAAACAAAACAATTATTTCTATTGCTTCTTTAAGTGCGCAGTCCTCGACTATACAGGAATCTATTAATTTTCTCTCTAATAAGTATGATGAACTGCTTGAGCGTGTTGTTTCCACGGAGCGGAAGAATCTAGAACTTAAGAAGAAATTATGTCAAATGGAATTAAAAATCGACTCCTTTGAACGTCATACGCGTTCAACTATGATAGAAATTAATAACTTACCTTCTACCGTAAAGGAAACGAAAACGGAATTAATTGATAAAGTGTGCAAAATTAGCTCCACTCTAAAGTTGCAGATCGGACCGTCGAACATCAAGAATATCTATAGAATGAAACCCAGAACAAACCAGCTTTCTCCAAGTACTGTCATGGTAGATTTTTTTTCTTCTTTTTTGAAAGAGAACATAATCTCGGCTGTGAAAACTCATAATAAGGAAAACAAGAATGCCAAACTCTCCACAGCCTGTATTGATAACTCGGGGACCCCAGTACCAATTTACATAACTGAATCTCTGACTGAATACGGAAGACACCTGTACTATCTTGGACGTAAGTCGGTAAAGGATGGCCTGTGCGAAAGTTGTTGGTCAAACTACGGCAAAGTTTATATTAAAAACACAGTGGGTCAACACCAAAGTGCATATCTTCAGAGATCGACCTCAAAAATATTCGGTCGCAACATATTTGACTATTTCTGTTTGAAAGCTTCCTTCTGCAAGTATATTATTTTGTATCAAGAATAATAATACTAAGCCTAAGATTATTAGTTAAATAAAATAAACACTACACTCCAAAATACTTATATAATACAAACTACATTACACCTACACTATACAAAACCTACCTATATACATTTCACAGTATATATCTATATTTTTTATATGCCCACTATTTTACGAAAATAAATTATATATAACAAATTATTTTACCTTATCAATGAAATTAAACTTAGTAACATTTTGTACAATTTATTGTTTATTAATTTATTTGCATTGTTTTGTTTTAATTATGCCTTATATACAACAACTATTACCTTATATACACCTTCATTTCACTTATATTAAAAAAAACAACTATTTATTGCAACGTATTACTATAAGCAAATAAAACACTATTAAGGAAATTAACTCTGAATTGGATAGTTTGAGTGTGGCGGATTCCGGAAACTGCATAATAGAGGACTGCTCACGAATAGTTGATACTCATAAACTTGAGGTCACTCTATTATGCCAAAACATAAGAAGATTCAATCATAACTTTACTGCTCTAAACACACTCCTAGTAAGTAAGGAAAAAAATTCCAAACCGAAAAGCGTTGCTGAAATCATGGATAAGCCCAGGCCTTCTTAAATGCTTAAGAAACCGAGATCAGATGCACCTGAAATTTAAAAAGAATCCTGATAATGATATAATGAAAACGACCTAAATAAGATACAGAACACACTGTAAAAAAAATTTGATGCATGCTAAGTTGGAATATGACAAAAGTGTAATACAAAATACACAAAATAATAGTAAAAAGCTCTGGGCCGCTATAAAAGACATCACTAATACGTCGACACAAAAAACATCACCTAACGAGTTATTATCCTCTACAGACCCTTTGCGTTCGGTGAACGAAGTCAATAACTTTTTTGCTAATGTAATCTCCTCCCTCGCGGAAAAAGTAAACCAGGACCATTCTAGGTCTGCCGCTCATACTCCCCAAAATAACATCCCTAATTCTTTTGTGCTTACAGATACAGATGAAGAGGAAGTGATACGTATAATTGATAAACTTCGTAATGACTGTGCAGTGGGGTACGACGGTATCTCTAGTGTTTTTCTTAAACCATACAAAAATATCTTAGCCGGTCCTATAACCTTCATCTGTAATATGGCAATTAAAACTAACACTTTTCCTGATCCGCTGAAGCTGGCAGTTGTACACCCAATACACAAAAGCGGCCCCAAGGATCTTGTAAGCAATTACAGACTGATCTCCATCCTCCCTGCCCTAT